TCTCTACTAAAAATACAAAATTAGCTGGGCATGGTGGCACATGCCTGTAATCCCAGCTACTTGGGAGGCTGAGGCAGGAGAATCGATTGAACTGGGAGGCAGAGGTTGCAGTGAGCCGAGGTCGTGCCATTGCACTTCAGCCTGGGCAACAAGAGCGAAACTACATCTCAGAAAAAAAACCAAATAAATAAAAAATAAAAATAAAGAATTTTAATCATCCAGTAAAAGCTAGATTACGTACAGAATTATCTGGATTTCTTTTTTTTGAGACAGGGTCTCACCATATCACCCAGGCTGGAGTACAATGGCACCATCATGGCTCATCACAGCCTCAACTTGCTGGGATCAAGCAATCCTACCCAAGCCTCTCAAGTAGCTGAGACTACGGGTGTGCACCACTAAGCCTCACTAATTTTTTTTTCCAGACAGGGGTTGCCCAGAACGGAGTGCAGTGGCATGATCACAACTCACTGTGGCCTTGACCTCTGGGGCTCAGGCAATCTTCCTGCCTCAGCCTCGTAAAGTGCTGGGATTACAGGTGTGAGCCACTGTGCCAGGCCTCCTGGATATATTTTAAAGATAAAGTATATACAAAGCACCCCTGTGCATACACAGGAATACTAAAAGAATATACACCAATAAATTGGTAACCATTTCTGGATAACACAAATTGCAACTAGCTTACCATTTTAATCACTGTAAGTGTACAGTTCAGTGGCATTAAGTATTTTCACACTGTTTTATTACCATTGTCACTATCCATCTCCAGAACCTTTTCATCATCCCAAACTGAAATCTGTACTCATCAAACAGTAACTCCCCATTTCCCCCTCCCCAAGTCTCTAGTAACCACTATTCTACCTTCTGTCCTATGAATTTATCTTTTTTTTTCTTTTTTAATGCTCCTTGTGGAGCAAGGCTTATTTATAGGCAATGTGCCCAGAGTAACCAAATTTAACTATACTAGGTATATCATATAAGTGGAAGCATATAACATGTGTCTTTTGGTGTCCAGTTTATTTCAGTTAACACAATGTCTTCAAGGTTCATCCATGGATGATTTTTGTTTATTTGTATTTTCTAAGTTTTCCATGATACACATATATACCTTTATAAGAATATCAGGCTTTTCTCAACTTCATCTAATCTAACTTCAGAAAGTTCACAAAAAAACATCATTCACTTACTAGCAGCTAAAAGGGTATTTCATTTAGGTGGGAAAAAGAAGTCACAGCAGGATGATTCCAGGGGATCTGAACAGCTTCATTTTAAGAACGTGCCTACGGCAGGTCAGAGAACATAAGCAAACTGTCTAAGATCACACAGCCCAGTATAGAACTCTCACCAATATTACCGCCAGCAACTGCTGTGTGTATCCTTCATAGAACCCTGTGCTAGGAATACAAAGAACCAATCTAACTATTAGAAGTTGTCAATCTAGTGGGAGATAAATAAATGAAAAAAATCAACTGAGATGAGCCTGAATTTTTGCATGAGAACTTGGAAAAGTTTGGTGCCAAATGAAAATTAGAAGGCCAGGCCTGGTGGCTCATACCTGTAATCTCAGTACTCTGGGAGGCTGAGGCTAGCCGATCATTTGAGGTCAGGAGTTCAGGATGAGCCTGGCCAACATGGTGAAACCCTCTGTCTACTAAAAAAATACAAAAAAATGAGCTGGGCATGGTGGCAGGCACCTGTAATTCCAGCTACTTAGGAGGCTGAGGCACGAGAATCACTTGAACCTGAACCTGGGAGGCGAAGGTTGCAGTGAGCCAAGATTGTGCCACTGCACTACAGCCAGGGTGACAGAGCAAAACTCCATCTCAAGAAAAAAAATTAGGAGACAGAGCCTGGTTCTATGATGAAGACGATGTTAATTTTTAGATGCTGTGATATGTTTTTTCTAGACTATTCTGCCTTTAGTACAAAAATATTCACATTACCAAATGGTCATATATATGGTAAAGCTTTTATTTACTTCATAAGTGACCAAATTATTGGCCTTGACCATTAGGTCCAGAAAGTAAAATTGTGTACTTTCTTTTTTTTGAGATGGAGTTTCACTCTTATTGCCCAGGCTGGAGAGCAGCAGCATGATTTCAGCTCACTGCAACCTCCACCTTCTGGGTTCAGGTGATTCTCCTGCTTTAGCCTCCCATCTGTCTTTTTCAAAGAAAAGATGACTTATCAGCAATTAAAAAAAAATTAGGCCAGGCGTGGTTGCACATGCTTGTAATCCCAGCATTTTGGGAGGCTGAGGTGGGAGGATCACTTGAGCCCAGGAGTTTGAGACCAGCTTGGGCAACATAGTGACACTGTCTCTAGTAAAAATTAAAAAATTAGCTGGATGTGTTGGTGAGCACCTGTGGTACCAGGTACTCGGGAAGCTGAGGTAGGAGGATCACTTGAGCCCAGAAGTCAAAGCCACAGAGAACCATGACTGCACCATTCCATTCCAGCCTGAGCGACAGAGTAAGAGACCCTGTATCAAAGAAACCAAAAAGAAAAAATAACTAGATTTTAAAAGGGGAAAAAAAAAAAAAGAACAGAAGTATCCACAAAACAGTGAAAGGCTAGATGGTCTCTATTAGGAAGAGAACCCTATAGCCTCCAACTTGGTACCAAGAATAAACACCAAAATTGCAATTGCTGGCAATAATATTGGTGAGAGTTCTGTACCTGGCTGTGTGGCCTTAGGCAGTTTGCTTACCTTCTCTGATCTGCAATAGGCATATTCTTAAAAAGGAGCTATGCAGACCCCCTTGAATCATCCTGCCGTGGCTTCTTTTTCTCACCTCTCTTGATACAATAAGAATGTCATATTTTTGTTACAGGGGAGATGATGTGTTTTTGTTTGTTTTTGAGATAGAGTCTCACTCTCTCACCCAGGCTGGAATGCAATAGTACAATCCCGGTTCACTGCAACCTCCGCCTCCCAGGTTCAGGTGATTCTCCTGTCTCAGCCTCCAGAGTAGCTGAGATTACAGGCATTGGCCACCATGCCCAGCTAATTTTTGTATTTTTAATAGATGTGGGATTTCACCATGTTGGCCAGGCTGGTCTCAAACTTCTGACCTGAGGTGATCCACCCACCTTGGCCTCCCAAAGTGCTGGGATTAGCAAATGGGTTTCAAAGGTTTAGCTTATTCATTAAAATCAGTATTTAGTATACTACAATGAGCTAGGCTGTGTGTGTGTGTGTGTGTGTGTGTGTGTGTGTGCACATGTGAAATAAAAGGTAGTATGAGTTCCATCAAGGTGCTTACAGTCTAATTTAAGGAGACAATGAATCACAAACAATTGTTGTGCCATTAATTCAAAGAGATGATGTCAGCAAACCTAAGAATGTGGGATACAGACTACTGAATGCAAAGGACACCACACACACACACGCTTTTTACCTGAGTGGTTAAAATTTCGCTCTGAGAGGAGAGCCTTGAGCAGTCTTCAGAGACACTTGTTTCACTCTCATACCCAGATGCTGCTTCACCTTAAGTAACAATCAAAACAGAGGTTCAGATGTAAAGGCTGACTATAAACACTGCAACTTGCTGTGTCTTTTTCTTCTCATTGGCAGGACTGGATTTACTTTCATGTCACACAAAATGATTAAACTCCTTGCTTTGGGACACCGGGATTTCCTTTTACAAAATGAAACCAGAAGTAAGTCCACCAATAACTAGGATGTTAAAGCTCATTCAGTCAGAGATGACATCCTAGCTGGGTGAAGGACTTTTTTCTATGAAAAGCACCTTAGGAGGAATGCGTTTCAAGTTTAAGAAGCAGTTCCTTTAACTATTCTTGGAAATTTGTAAAATGTGCTCCCCAAAAGGCATAAACATTTAGCTCATTTCTATAAATAGACTAGGGCAAACACAAAACCTGGTTCCAATACCTAAGTTTGAATCCACACTTTGCTCTTCTTGATTATCTTCTTCCAAGCCCGTTCCCCTTTCTTCATCATCTGAAACCAATTCCTTGTCACTCAGACCAACTCCCTGGCTTTCAGACTGATGCCTCATTCGTTTGGAAGAACCAATCAAGAAAGGATCCTGGGTGTTTGTATTTGCAGTCAAGTCTTCCAGTTCACTGCACTGTGAAGAAAACAAGCTACCAGAACATTTTGTTTCCTCACTAAGGTGATGTTCCTGGGATGCCTTTGCCAATATTACCTGGTTACTACAGTCAGTTAAGCTATTCTTCAATGATAATAAATTCTCCTCTGTGTTCTTAGACAGACACTCGGTAGCAACAGTGCTATGCCTAGTAGTCTGAGAAGGTATATTGCTTACTTTACCAAATAACAAGTGTTGGAAGCAGGGAAGCTCTTCATCCTCACTAGATAAGTTCTCTTCTGAGGACTCTAATTTCTTGGCTCCTTTTCTGTAACCCTGAGCCAAATGTGTATGGGTGAAAGGACTAGGGCTCCTGCTGAGCTCTCCTCTCTGGACGCTTTTGCTAAAAACAGCAGAACTCTCCTTAATGTCATTTTCAGCAAAACTAGTATCTTCCTGTATTTCACCATCATCTAACAGATCATCAGGAGTCTCAGAACAAACCTCAGACGCATGACTACTTCCCATAGGCTGTTCTAGGTTATCTGAAATCAGACATGGAGAGAAGTCTGTATTAACCATCTGAACTATTTCTTCATGTTCTTGCTTTTTTATTTCAGGATGCTTACAATTACTTATAGGAAGACTTTGTTTACAGACCTCAGGTTGCAAAAGCCCTAATCTAAGCACAGCATTCAATTTTGGCCCTCTGTTTCTACCTAGTTCTGCTTGAATGTTTTCATCACTGGAACCTACTTCATTAATACTGGAGCCCACTTCATTAGTACTGGAACCTACTTCATTAATATTGCTCGAGCTGGCTTCTTTAAAAGCATTTTCTCTAATGTTATTATGGCTAATTGTGCTCACTGTACTTGGAATGATGTTCTCGTTTCCCACTGCTCTTTCGGATGACACTGAATGTTCCTCAGAGTTTTCCTCTAGCAGGTTTTTGTTACATTTAGTTTTAACAAATGACTTGACAGGAAAAAGTGGTGGTATATGGTATGGGTTTTGTAAAAGTCCATGTTTATTTGGAGTAATGAGTCCAGTTTCGTTGCCTCTGAACTGAGATGATAGACAAAACCTAGAGCCTCCTTTGATACTACATTTGGCATTATCAACTAGCTTATCTTTCTGACAAACCACAGAAAAGCCTGCAGTGATATTAACTGTCTGTACAGGCTTGATATTAGACTCTTTCTTTCCTTGATTTTCTTCCTTTTGTTCACGTTCAGAAGTAACTTTTGGACTTTGTTTCTTTAAGGACCTAGAGTGGGCAGAGAATGTTGCACATTCCTCTTCTGGATTTCCTGGATTTGAAAACAGAGCAAAGGACTGGCGCTTTGAAACCTTGAATGTATTCTGCAAATACTGAGTATCAAGTTCACTTTCTTCTATTTCTATGCTTGTTTCCTGACTGTGGTTAACTTCACGTCCCAATGGATACTTAAAGCCTTCTGTGTCATTTCTAGTATCTTCAGAACAACCATGAATTAGTTCCTTGGGGTTTTCAAATGCTGCACACTGACTCATACATTTATTTCGTTCTGTTTTTGCCTTCCCTAGAGTGCTAACTTCCAGTAATGAGATACTTTCCTGAGTGCCATAATCGGTACCAGGTACCAATGAAATACTGCTACTCTCTACAGATCTTTCAGTTTGTAAAACCCTTTCTCCACTTAACATGAGATCTTCGGGGTCTTTGGCATTATTAGACACTTTAACTGTTTCTAGTTTCTCTTCTTTTTCTTCTCTTGAAAGGCTAGGATTGACAAATTCTTTAAGTTCACTAGTATTTGAACAGTTAGTAAAAGAACCAGGTACCTTTGTTAACTTCAGTTCTGGGAAAGTATCACTGGCATGTCTTTTACTTGTCTGTTCATTTGGCTTGTTACTCTTCTTGGCTCCAGTTGCAGATTCTTTATCTTCCATGAGTTGTAGGCTTCTGCTGTGCCTGACTGGCATTTGGTTGTAATTTTTTTTCTTTATCTCTTCACTGCTAGAACAACTATCAATTTGTAGTTCAGTACAATTAGGTGGGCTTAGATTTCTACTGACTACTAGTTCAAGCGCATGAATATGCCTGGTAGAAGACTTCCTCCTCAGCCTATTTTTTTTAGGTGCTTTTGAATTGTGGATATTTAATTCTAGTTCCATATTGTTTATACTGCTGCTTATAGGTTCAGCTTTAGTTTTGAAAGCAGATTCTTCTTCCAGTGATTCTATTGGGTTAGGATTTTTTTCATTCTGAATAGAATCACCTTTTGTTTTATTCTCATGAGCACTATTAGTAATATTCATCACTTGACCATTCTGCTCCATTTGGTTAGTTCCCTGATTTATTATTTCAGGAGTCTTTTGAACTGCCAAATCTGCTTTCTTTATAAAATCCTCAGGATGAAGACCTGATGTAGTTCTCCTTTTACGCTTTAATTTATTTGTGAGGGGACGCTCTTGCATTATCTGTGACTCAGTAACAAGTGCTCCTATAATTAGATTTTCAGTTACATGGCTTAAATTGGGAAGGTTTGCCTTCCTCCGATAGGTTTTCCCAAATATTTTGTCTTTAATATTAATCTCTACTGAACTGGAGTGAACTCTTTCACTTTTACATATTAAAGGCTCATGAGGATCACTGGCCAGTAAGTCTATTTTCTCTGAAGAACCGGAATATTCATCTACCTCATTTAGAACGTCCAATACATCAGCTACTTTGGCATTTGATTCAGACCCCCCATCATGTGAGTCATCAGAACTTAACAGTTCATCACTTCTGGAAAACCACTCATTAACTTTCTGAATGCTGCTATTTAGTGTTATCCAAGGAACATCCTCAGTGTCTCTAGGATTCTCAGAGCACGGCAGTTTTTGCTTATTCCATTCTTTTCTCTCATACAGGGCATTAGCATTCAGATCTACCTTTTTCTCTGTGCTGGGAGTCTGCCTATCATTACATGTTTCCTTACTTCCAGTCCATCTGTTATGTTGGCTCCTTGCCAAGCCAGGCTGTTTGCTTTTATTACAGAATTCAGCCTTTTCTACATTCATTCTGTCTTTAGTGAGTAATAAACTGTTCTCATGCTGTAATGAGCTGGCATGAGTATTTGTGCCACATGGCTCCACATGCAAGTTTGAAACAGAACTACCCTGATACTTTTCTGGATGCCTCTCAGTTGCATGTTTCTCAGTGGTGTTCAAATCATTATTACTGGACTGATGATGTTCAGCATTTGTTATATCCTTCTCAGAAAATTCACAAGCAGCTGAAAATACACAAAAATAACAAGGTACTCAAAAACTGAATTGTCATTAAAAAAATACATACTTCATACACCTTGGAGGTGGAAATCAACCAACTGGCTATATTTAGAGAAACTAACCTCATAAACTACCAAGTATACTGAAGATGTAGCTCATACTCTTTCATTTAATTCCTATTTACTTAGATTATTTCCACTTAGGATCCATTAAATTTTTAATTTCAGAATTTTCCCTATGCAGAAACCACACCTCCTATTTCTCTAATGTCTAAGAGTGAATTAAAAGCAGACTGGCCATCAGAAAACCAGTTCTGATGTACTCTAAAGATCACTGGCCATTAAGTCTACTTAATACTCTGTTCTATCTACAGACTTACCATTCCCTATATTTAAAAACCAGTAGGCAAAAGATGAAACACAAATACATCAATTAAAAGTAAAGGGCAGGCCAGGCACAGTGGCTCAAGCCTGTAACTGCAGCACTTTGGGAGGCTGAAGTGGGCAGACTGCTTGAGTCCAGGAGTTTGAGACCAGCCTCGGAAACATGGCGAAACTCTGTCTCTATAAAACCACAAAAAATTAGCCGGGTGTGGTGACGTGTGCCTGTAGTCCCAGCTACTCAGGAGGCTGAGGTGGGAGGATAGCTTGAGCCCGTGTGGTGGAGGTTGCAGTGAGCCAAGATTGCATCATTGCACTCCAACCTGGGCAACAGAGTGAGACCCCATCTCAAAAACAAAAAACAAATAACAAAAAACAAAAAACAAAAAACAAAAGGGCAACAATCAGTTACAGAAAGTCTTATTATTATAGCTACATTAGTCTAGTACCATTTAAATCTATCAGATCATACCATGACATTTGACAAAGAATGATACTCTAACTCTGCCAAGAGATTTTGTGGATTGTAAAGGTCCCAAATGGTCTTCAGAATAATCTAATTACAGTACTGTATCTACCCACTCTGTTAAATTGGGAAACTTTGCCATTACCCTTTTTTGCAGAATCCAAACTGGTTTCATCCCTGGTTCCTTGAGGGGTGATTTGTAACAATTCTTGATCTCCCACACTATAGGGAAAACACAGAGTCCTAATGAGAAACACTAGTTATACTTATGCAGAACTGTCAAATGACCAAGATAAAATATTTTAGCTTTTTCAGTTACAGAAAGTTGACCAATCTTATTGAGTTAGCGAAAGCTGCTCTCTCCTTTAGAAACTTCTAGTTGAAATGGAATGGTTGCTGGGCACGGTGGCTCACACCTGTAATTCCAGCACTTTGGAAGGCCAAGGCGGGTGGATCACTTGAGATCATGAGTTCAAGCCAGCCTGGCCAACAAGGTGAACCCCTGTCTCTACTAAAAATACAAAAATTAGCCGGGTGTGGTGGTGTGCACCTGTAGTCCCAGCTACTTGAGAGGCTGAGGCAGGAGTACGGCTTCAACCCGGGAGGCAGAGGTTGCGGAAAGGTGAGATCACACCACTGTACTCCAGCCTGGGCAACAGAGCAAGACTCTGTCTCAAAAAAAAGAAATGGAATGGTCAATTAGCTGGGTGGTGGTGTACACCTGTAGTCCCAGCTACTTGTGAGGCTGAGACAGGAGAATCACTTGACCCTGGGAGGCGGAGGTTGCAGTGAGCCGAGATCACACCACTGCACTCCAGCCTGGGGCAGCAGAGTAAGACTCTGTCTCAAAAAAAAAAAAAAGAGAGAAATGGAATGGTCAAAGACCGAGGACACACAGCCACAAAAATCAGACCAGGAACATTACTTTATGGACTTGCAAATGAAAGCCAACATTTAAGTGACAGCCAAAAGATAGTTTTTAAAAACACTTAAAAGTGTATCTTAATGAGAAGGCAGGAGCAAGGATATCTAAACAAAGGGAACAGTAGGATTGCAGATAACCCAACAGAACACCACTTTGCTACACTACTTTCTGTGCTGCTTTTCAGTCTAAAAGTCATTTCCTTCCAATCGTGAGATTAGGGAAGTCATTTACAAACAAAAACTGACAATGTCGCCATTATAGTTCAGACTAGATCTTAGACAGGGTCAGCCAGGCATGGTAGCTCATGGCTGTAATCCCAGCACTTTGGGAGGCTGAGGTGGGTGGATCACTTGAGCTCATGAGTTTGAGAACAGGCCGGCCAACATGGTGAAACCCTGTCTCTACTGAAAATACAAAAATTAGCTGGGTGTGGTGGCGTGTGCCTGTAATCCTAGCTACTTGGAAGGCTGAGACAGGAGAATCACTTGAACCAGGGAGTTGGAGATTGCAGTAAGCCGAGATGGCGCCACTGCACTCCAGCCTGGAAACAGGGCAAGACCCCGTCTCCAAAAAAAAAAAAAAAAGAAAAGAAAAAAAAAAACGTAGGGTCAAGCAATAATTCCTAAGGAAGGTAGGTAACATAGTTGGGGCTGCTTGTAGATTATTATATAACATACAGACAAAGCTTGAGAGATATGTGGAAATAAGGAACAGAGGAAAGAAAGAGTTGAAAATGAAGTCCTCGAGCATTTTCATCAGTCACAATTACTGCTGTGTCAATATTACTGTATATGAGGAACTTAAAGAACAACAATCTGCTAGAAGCAAGCATGTGCAGAGTTCTGTTATCCTAAATTCCTTTGGACAGTATTAATAACTAAATCTAACAAACAAAAAGGGTATTTCCTCCACTATAAAATGAGAGGACTAAACTAGATGATCTCTAAGGTTTCTTCCAATACCATGACTCTAGTCTAGAGAAACACCAGCCTACCTGAGGGAAGAAGGTGGGAGGAGGGAGAAATTCAGAAAGGAAGGAAACAAAAAACTGTGGGGTATGCTTAATAATAACTGGATGATGAAAAAAAACTGTATGCCAAATCCCAAATCGTGTGTTTACCTATATAACAAACTGCACATACATCTCTGAACCTAAAATAAAAGTTAAAATATTTTAAAAAGAGAGAAACATCAATCCTTAATATTAACTAAATAGGAAAATACCAGCTTCATAGGCAAAGATTCTCTTTGACTCACCTGCAATAAGTTGCCTTATTAACCGTATCTTCAGAAGAATCAGATCCTAAAAAATTTCCCCCCAAAAAAACCAATAAAAGATTTCTTAATTACAAGGGTTAAACAAAAAATGTACTTGTTGAAAAACAGATATTCAACTAGAAATATTTATTGAGCATCTAGTATGTGGCAGGTACAATGCTAGTTAAGCCAGTGTGTAATACAGAGAAGTGGTTAAAAACACGGGCTTGGCCAGGCACAGTGGCTCTCACCTGTAATCCCAGCACTTTAGGAGGCCGAGATGGGTGGATTATTTGAGCTTAGGAGTTTGAGACCAGCCTGGCCAGCAAGGTGAGACCCTGTTCCTACTGAAAACAAAAACAAAAACAAAAAGCACAGGCTCTGACATCTAACTTCCCAGGTTTGAATCATGGCTCAGCCACTTACTAGGTTTACTACCTTGGAAAAATTTCATAACCTCTCTGTGCCTTAATTTCCTCATCTGTAAAATAAGTATAATAGGAACAATCTCAGAGGTCTGACATGCATCTAAATGAGTTATACAAGAAAAACACAATAGTGCCTGGAATATAGTTAAGTGCTCCTAAATATTAACTACTATAACTATTTTTACAATGCCTGTTGTCTAGGAATTTATGATCATAAGGGGGGAAAACAGTAAGTGTTATGATAAATAGATGGTGGTGCCTGGGAGCTCAAAAGACAGCCACCCTTTTTAATTATAAATATATTCTAAAAAAATAACCCAATTAGAGAGCCCAGTTTGAATTCTGAGCTCAGCAGCTCTTCTTTTTTTTTTTTTCAAGATGGGGTCTTGCTCTGTCACCCAGGTTGGAGTGCAGTGGCATGATCATAGCTCACTATAGCCTCAAACCCCTGGATTCAATCTACCTGCTCACCTATGACTGCTGAGTAGCTGGGACTACAGATACACACCACCACACCCAGCTAATTTAAAAGAAAATTTTTTTTTTAGCGATGAGGTCTTGCTATGTTGCCCAGGCTGGTCTCAAACTCCTGGCTTCAAGCAATCCTCTGCCACTGCTGAGATTACAAGTGTTAGATACTATGCTGGCCTCAACTCTTCTTTTTATTTCTTTTTATAAGCTTAAAAAAATTTATTATTAAAAAAAAATTTTTTTTTTGAGATGGAGTCTCACTCTATTGCCCAGGTTGGAGTGCAGAGACATGGTGTCGGCTCATTGCAACCTCCGCCATCCTGGTTCAAGCAATTCTCCTGCCTCAGCCTCCTGAGTAGCTGGGATTACACGCGTGCACCACCACACCCAGCTAATTTTTTTTTTTTTGTATTTTTAGTAAAGAAGGGTTTTACCATGTTATCCAGGCTGGTCTTGAACTCTGACTTTAGGTGGTCTACCTGCCTCAGCCTCCCAAAGTGTTGGGATTACAGGCATGAGCCATTGCACCTGGCCAAAATGTATTATTATTTTAAAAATAGAGA